GGGGGGTGAGGGGACGCTGGGCGCTTCCCTCGACGCGACAGTAAGTCCAAACCCAAGCCCCGCCGCGTCCTGCATCTCACACAGCCACACTACCCGCCCAGTATTCAGTAATGCTTGCATTAGGGTATGCAGTAAATGGAGTGTAAAAAGGTACCAGTTCGTGCATGAATAATTTAAGCTTAAGCAGTAAATATCTTGGTAGTTTGACGAAAAATCGCACGCGAAGCAAAAGGGTAGGTGCACTTGACTTTCCTCTTTATAAAGAGAGACATGTAACAATAATGTTTGTTTACACAAATAAATAGGTAACAACAAAAAATGGAGCAAACATTCTGAGACCGTGATCGCACGTTTTTTCTGCAACCATAAAACATTTGAGGTTTCTTATTATTTCCACCAGAAAGATATAGTTTCGTGTCGTGGTAAGGTCCGACTCTCTCTCCAGAGGAAAATGTCCTACAATACGGGACAAATGTAAATGTATCCATCTCCACGGCTCAGGTCGTCGTCGCGCTGCTCCCGAGGGCCTGGCGTAAGGATTATCTCCTAGTGTTGACGCTAACAAGGTAAGGTTAGGACCTTGTTCCAGTTCCACTCACTAAAATGTTGTTATACGTAGTGACAAAAATTTGATTGACGTTCAATTTTTTCTACCCCGTGTGATACCAAGAGGAGATCTTTCGAGATATTCTCAAATTCAAAGTAACATCAAGAATAATATTTGCATGTAGTGCAGCATTTCTTTAAGACAAAATTATTACCTCATGCTGGTTCCGGCAAGATTCCGTTGCTTCACTACCCTCCCACGCGATCTGCCCCCCCCCCTCCCCCTCTCGCGTGAAGCGCGAGTCTCGGGTGGACACGGACCCGACGCAACACTGTTTAGAAGCGCCGCCCCGCTCCACCCACGCCCCTCTGCTATTTTATGCAGTCATTTTACAACGCCAGATTCATTATTCTGGCGTCCCGAGCTTCGGCGGGGCCCCTGGCCGCCCCTGGCTGCCCCTGGTCGCCCCTGGCCGGCCGCCGGGCACGTCTGCTCTGCCCCTCGCCTCGGTGCGTCGCCGACACCAGCCTCGCGATCAGATGTATGACACGAGCTTTGTTTGTTTTTTCCAGGCAAGACAGATGATGAAACAGGAGGTAAAGGGAACTGGTCGCTTTATTGAGGACGGAATTTTCGATTGTTCCATTAATCGTTTGAGAAGGTGAAACAAACCAACGAACACGTTCCCATTCCTCTTTGCCCCACACTTTTCTCCCTTCAAAAAAGCTGCGCGCATAGTGTGTGCTATCATGAACAAATTGGCCAAGTGAAAAATGTTTGCTTTGCGACCAAAAAACGTACAAAATAAAGTTTGTTAAATTAATTGGGGCCGCCGCGCTGGACGTCAACTGGGCGGCGCCTGGCGGCCGCCCCTCCGCCCCTCCGCTCCGCAGAATGGATCCTCTGCAAAGCAGAATAACTCAGCCGCACATTCCATAGGCAGTCGCCTCATTACCCCCCCCCCTCATAATCAACTGCATTCGCGCCCCGGGCTCTTCTCCTCGCTCTCCCCCGCCTTTCTCTCTCTCTCTTCATTATTTGACCGCGCCGATGATTCCTCCCTCCCGTAATACCTGTAACGACGAGGAGGCGCTGCCGCTGCTGCAGCCGCTGGCCCTTCGTGAATCTCGGACCCCCTCCTCCAGCGTCTTATATAAGGGCAGGGGGAAGGGTGTACTACACCGACAAAGCTTCAGAGTCCGAGGATCGCTTTAAGATCGGGGGACTTGCGGGTCGGCTGTGATCCAGCGAAACGGCTACCGGGCTGACTGGCAGCGCCGGGCAGCGCAGTGGAGACGCTGTCCATTCATCAACTGCGATCTGATTGTTCCGAGGCGCCCCACCCTCCAACCCGTTGATCGCTACACTTGGAAATTGAAAGGGGAGGGAGACATTTGACATCAACACATTTTCAGCCACGTGCACACTACAGTGTTAACGCATTTCGCATGCTCTTGCAGGGACAAAAAAGCAGCTGGGGCCACGTCTGGAGTGTGTCGAGCTCGGTGTGTCGGCATGTGGTGAGGTGCACCACAGATCCGCCCAGACAGCTTTGCAGCCGTTGTCTGTCATTTCCGGACAATTCCCCAAAATACGCTAATCAGGTCGAAATAACGATTGGAGTCTGAAGCCAGCCGCGCGTCCAGCGCGGGAAATCCCGAATGAAATGAAAATCCGCTCGGCAGACAGCAGATCGGTCTCGCCACCGACCATCCATCGACGCGTGGCGCGGCGTGGCCCAGCCTGGGGGGAGCGGGCGAGGGGTGGCCGTGCGATACCCAGTATCGGCCGCGCCACCCCGCACACGCACACACACACACACGCACACACTCTCCGCGATTGAGCGAGAAGAATTACGTGCGCAGAGCAGAGGTTGAGGACGGCAAATCCAACATCAGCTCCGCACCAGGCCACCGCCGGGGGTGCGCGGCGGAAGTGGCCGGCCGCCACCGGGACATCAACCGGACGTCAACCGGACGGCGGCGGCCGCCGAGGCAGCCGCAGGCCGCAGGAAGCCGAGTCCCGCGCGTGTGTTCTCACGTCGTCGGCGCTGTTCGGCTGGTTATTGATGGTGCGTCGTGCGACCGTGCTGACCGCGCGCGCGCACACGCACGCACGCACGCACACACACACACACACACACGGGCGCGCGCGCACACACACGCATACGCACACACGGCCCACGCGTGTACTCACGTTGTGGAACCAGGCGATGCGGTGCTTGGGCGGGTTGGAGCGAATGCTGCACTCGAAGTACACGTCGTCGCCCTCCTTGATGTTACCCGGGTTGAGTGTGTCGCCCAGGCGCAGCTCGACCACCGGCGGATCTGCAGCAGAACCAAGATGGAAAATTCAGCAAAAAAACAAAACAAACAAAACAACAAAAGATACAAAAACGAGTAAACTACCCGAAAGAGCATGTTATTTCCTCCCCCCTCTTGTGCTAGCCTTCGCCGAGTAAAACCAACAACGTTAGGGACAAGGGGGGGGGGGGGCAGAGCAGAAAGATACGGCGAAAGAGCAGAGAAAATGGCATAATTGGAAAAATACGCGCTGACGCACGCTTAAGGCCGCATCACGCTGCATCCTCGTTTGAATTTGGCGGTCACGACGAGCTGGGGGATAGGAGGCGCTCTCGAGCTGAGAGGAGGGTATAGGGCAGATGAAAAAGAACAAGGGGCTGAGAGCGAGAGAGAGAGAGAGAGAGAGAGAGAGAGAGAGAGAGAGAGCCGCGTGGAACCTATAGCTCGTTAGGAAAACGCCTATTATATCCTCATCCATCATGTGGGCCTCGCCAGGGAAGAGGAGAGGAGAAGGGTGCAGAAGAAAGAGGAGGGGGAGAGTCATTTGTCGCAACATCGTAACCAGCACCGCCTCTTATACCGCATTCATGGAGGGAAAGTTTTCCGCTGCATTCTACTCCACGCTGGAGTAAAGGAGCGGGGAGATGGATGACAAAGAGTATATTTTTCCTTTTCTCTCTTTGTTTCTTTCCTTCCTTATTTCTTTGTTTCTTCAAGTCGCCCGCCCCCCCTCCACCTCCCTTACCCTACTTGTGTCTGTGTCTTTCAACCGAATTTCGCGCTCCATTCCAATTTTTCACTCGTTTGTAAAATATAAATACCAAGGATTCTCTGTTTCGTTACTGCTTCATTTGCCTTCTCGTCACTTTAATGCGCATCACATTCACGAATAAATAAACGACAATTAGCATCTTCATGGGAAAGTAATACTCCGCTTTCAGAAAAGTATGAATGGCGCTAACTAACGAGACAGTAAATGACGCTCTTCATCAAGGCACTCTTCTGAAGGAGGGGCAATTACATCCCACACAGCGACCCCTCTCGAGGTGTCACGGCAATGGACAGAGTGGACGCCACCTGCTTGCTCGCTCGTGAACCTGCCCCATCAAGATAATTGCCAGCCGTCGTTCTTCACATCGAGCTTTTCCAAGTCGCAAGCAGTGCTGCCCGTGGTCACCATGCCCATGGTAGCCGTGCCGTGATGATCCTACCCCGTGGCGCCCCTGCCCGTGACGGCCCTACCCGTGCCCGTGGTGGCTTTGCCCGTGGTGGCCCTGCTCGTGGTGATCCTGCCCGTGGTGCCCCTGCCCGTGGTGATCCTGCCCGTGGTGCCCCTGCTAGTGGTGATCCTACCCGTGGTGCCCCTACCCGTGGTGCCCCTGCCCGTCGTGGCCCTGTCCGTGGTGGCCCTGTCCGTGGTGGCCCTGCCCGTGGTGGCCCTGCCCGTGGTGGCCCTGCTCGTGGTGATCCTGCCCGTGGTGGCCCTGTCCGTAGAGGCACTGGCCGTGCGGCGGCACGGCTGCCCGCCACCCCAAATCACCATCAGGCGTGGCTTTCCGGCCCGACTATGGAAATAAGACCCGTCCGTCTGCTGCTGTGAGGCTGTTCCATGCTAATATCTCTGCAGCGCCCCCCCTCCCCTCTTTTCTCTCTGATTCGCAGGGCAGAACCACTCAACGCCCGGGCCAGCCGGCCGGCAAACACAACCTGCAAGGGATCGGGACTAGCCGCGCCTCGCCATACTGGGCCATACTGGGCCATACTGGGCGGCCGCCGGGGCCGAGGCCGGGCCCTAATCCATATTGGCCTCAATTATTCATAGCATCGCCACCTATTGAGAGGCCGTCGGGTTGGTGGCCGTGAATGGGCCGAGCCGAGGGAGGGTCAGGGCGGAGGCTCTGATTGCAACATCAGCAGCCTTTCACAATCAGATTATTATAGCGGCCCGACAATACACGTTCTGCACGAGTACCACCTCGCCTCAAAGTTGAAAAGCCAAGCCAGGTACGTGCTGGCGGCTGAAGGGCTCACACTAAAATCCTGCGAATTTGATTCGTTCACAGCTTACTGATTTCTGTGCCCGCTTACGCATTTTTTAATTACGCCCGTTTTCACACTGGCGGTTTTAAAAATTCATAAGCTGACCACGTACCACGTACACTGAAATCAGTAAGCTGTGGTGCACGAAAAAGGTCATATAAGATTTGAGCGTGCAACATATCCACAATAAAATGTCAACATGAAACAGCCCTGCCCTGACAAAACGATTTTGTGACATTATAAGATCAAGTATCACATCCACTTTAAATGTGTTTTGGAAATCTAAAAATACATATCAGAAATTACACCGTCTCCCCCTTTCCAAAAGTGAAAAAAAAAAGAGCCACAGATGGTTTTTTAAATCTGGTTAGTGTAAAAGAAACACACATATTTTTGACATTGAAAAGAGGGAGAGAGCAAACGGTGGAGACATTTT